CTCCAGGGAATATTTTCTTTGACCAGCTAGGGTCTGGGGAGATGGATCAAGCCTGGCCTAGGCACTTGGTTTGAGGGTAAGATAGGAGTGGCTCGCTAAAAGTCAAGGGTTTCTGGACAAGCAAAAGCACTGCACAGTATTCTTGCGTGAAGAGATTATGAGTTGCCACAGTCCAGGGGGGTTGCTGAGGCACTGACCTGATAGGATCTTCATTTTCCTTCATGTTGTGCCCAGCTAACTGGGTTAAAAATAGAAGCATAATAGTATCACTGGAATAAAAATTGATGTTTCCTGACAGGAACCCTAACTTACCATTTAATAGAATAAGTATGCTAGAGAGTTCAGTTGGTTCAAACTTATTGTTTTATAGGTGGAGATTTTGAGTGCTTATTGTAGTGCCCTGTGTATTTTGCATACTCAGTTAAAGTTACTGGCTAATGATCTAGCTTCTTTGCTGACAAGTGAGGTGAAAACTAATACCCGTGCACAGCCTGGCAGACTCTGTGGTGACCAGCACTCTGCGCTTGGCTTAGCATGACTGTGGTGTATCATTTAAAGGCCTCTTACCCAAGGCCAGAAGCTCATCTTTGCTTCATTTCACTAACAATTAATCATAGTCATTAATAGAGCACTATCTAGAACTCCGCATGTCCTCATGGTTTAGCACTGGTACCCACTCACTCCTACACTGCTAAGTGAATTACAGACTTGCAGAACAAACAGAAAATGGACTGTAACATTTTAAAGGGAAAAAGTAATATGTGTGAATGTTGGGCAAAAATGGCAAAAACTTATTTCCAACTAAGAACAAGCACTGGGTTGCTAACCTCTACAACAAAGATATGAAAGACAAAATGAAACAGACACAGATGAAAATTCTGGAACCCTGAACTTCAAAGAAAAGAATAGAGAGATGAATGGAGTGCTTGCTGGGAGGAGAGGCTGAGTAGGGTCAACGAGAGGGAGACTGACTGGAGAGCGGATGGCCAGATGTGGCTCATCCGACTTGTGAGCACCTTTGGTATCAGAAGGAGATCTGTCAGAGCCTATTCACTCAGGCAGCAGAAAACAGTACAATTTCTTCTATTTACCCATGCTCCCCTGGTCACCAAGAGAGTGGACAGCTTCCACCTTCATCCACCCCTATCCAGGACCCTACTGCCAGGGTCTGCCAGGGTCTGGGAGAACACAATAAAAATTTAAGAAAATTTCAGGATTATGCTACAGGAACAAACAGATGAAATCAATGTAAATTAGGAAACAATACAAAACCTGCCATTGGAAATCCAGAAGATGGATACTAAGATCTCAGAAATGGACAATACATTGAAAGGTCAAAAGGAGTAGATATAAAGCAGTGCAACCCAGATTAGTGAGCTTGAAGATAAATCTCTCAGTACTAATATGCTAGATGATTCAGAAGAAAGATGAAAAAATCTGAAGAAGGGCCTAAGAGTTATGTGGGATATACCATGAAGAGGAACAACTTATGAGTAATCAGAATTCCAGAACAGGAAGAGATAAACACTGAGAAAATTAATGAAGAGTTGTTGGAAGAAAACTTCCCTAACATCATGAAAGACAAGCAGATAAAGATATAAGAAGCTAAATGAACACCAAATAGGACAGGTAGGTCCCAAAAGAAAATCACCAAGACATGTCATAATCAAACTTTCTAAAATCAAAGACAAGGAAAGAATCCTGAGAGCAGCTCAGGAAAAATGAAAAGTTACCTTCAAAGGAGCACCAATTAAGACTAAGCTCTACTTTCTCAACAAACCATGCAGGCAAGAAAGCAATAGGATGACATATACAAAACTCTGAAAGAAAAAACTTCCAACCAAGAATCATATACCCAGCAAAGTTGTGTTATTTGGCTGAAAACCAACAACAGACAGTAACCTGAGATTAACATACATGACAACACAACCCAGCAATCAGTCCAGATATAGAAGTATTTAAAGTAAAACAAAGCTACAAGACTGAAAATAGAGAACCAGAGATACCAATGTATAATGAAGTCAGCTACAAAGCAAAAAAAAGTGACTAATGTAGATACAGAACTTCCAAACGGCAAAGTCAAGTCGATTTCAAGGTAAAACAGATTGCTTTAAGCAGGGAAAAAAATAATTACAGGGTAACCTCAAAGAAAAATAAGATAACTGTACATCAAAATAAAAAGAGAAGGAAAATTAGAAAGATTTGGTAAACATTAACACACAGAAATGAAAATGAAAAGAAAATCCACAAACAAAATGAACTAGACATAGAAAATTATGTAGAACAAAGAATCCAGCAGCACCACACACATACACACACACAGATGAGAACAGTCAATTCATACCTATTGGGAATAACATGAATAAAATTATTAAGAGACATAAACAACAGAATAAATAAGAAAACAGGATCCTTCAATATGCTGTGTTTAAAAGAGACATATCAAAAAGATGGAGACAGCCTAAATTAGTGCCCATCAACAGAAGAATGGTTAAACAAACATACACACAATGGAATACTACAAAACACTGAAGAATAATGATGAATCTGTGAAACACCTCATAGCAGGGTTGAACCTGGAGGACATAGTGCTGAGTGAAATTAGTCAGTCACAAAAAGACAAACATTATATGAGACCAATGTTGTAAAAAGTTTAAAAAAAAAATTCTTGATAAAACTATGATGGTTACAGGGGGTATAAGAGAGTATATTTTTATTCATGGACTAGAGGGGTAGACATGGTTAACATGAATAATAGGGCAGGCAATATACAACAAGAAGGAGGTTAGAAGAGGAAAGATGAAGTTAATGGGAGATACAGGAAGGAATACAATGAAGTGAATAGAGGTAATTGCTCACTCAATTTACAAGTTTGGTTTTTTGTTTTTTTTTAAATCTCAGGTGACCCAGACATCTGCTCATGTAATTTATACAACTCCCTTCCCCTCCATCCCTTATCCAGTTGTCTTCAAGTCTTAAAATGTTGCCTCCTAATTTGTTTTCTAAGGAGTCCTGGTGTGGCGCTGTGGGCTAATGTGCCAGACTGCAAAGCACTTTGAACTGCAAGGTCAGCGGTTCAAGCTTACAAGCTGCTCCTCGGAAACCCTATACAGGGTCACTATGGGTTGGAATCAACTCGACGGCACTTAACAACAACTTGTTCTCTATTTCCATCTACTAGCCATGAGACTATATGTATACGTGTCCTTCTTGCCCACTAAATCCCAGCAGCTACCTCAGGACCTGGCATTTAGTGCATGTTAAATGATTATTAATAATGTTAGCAGGCATGACAGTTTGTATGTGTAGTTTTATAGTTGAGAAAACTGAGGCTCAAATGGCTTACCCAAGCTTGGTAATGGCAGTGTTAGGATATGAACTCTCCTGCTTCTGGAATGGCTCGTTTTAAACACGTTAGAGTTCCAAGTTTTTACAGTCACAGTGAACTCTTACTAACCACTCTCAACTGAGTCATATCATCCTATCAGTATCATTTCCCACCTTCTCTTAGCCAGGCCCAGGAGGGCAAAAAATATTATTTCATGAGAGTTACAAAGACTGTGGGTAGAAGGGCTGTATGAAGTACTTCATTGTACCACACTCTAACATTAGGTTATTTTCTTTTAAGCTCAGACTTTGTCTTTGGTGTTGTTTGAGCTGATTTGTCATAGACTTTAACCTAGCAAATTTATGTAGCCACAGAAGGGTTAATAAGTAGATGCCAGTTCTAAATGCCATTGAGAAAACCACAGAGCTTGCTAAGGGATTGGTTTCTTTTGTAAAATAAGAAAATCAAGCCAGACATAATTTGGCCATACATTTAGATCTTTCAAGCTTGGGGGAAATAAGGTTATATATTGTCATTATAAGAAAGTGGGTGTCCAGACATTTTTTGGTCACCTTCCTTAAGTCTTTGCATATATTCCTGTTACTAGTTGGCCTCAAGTCTGTTCCTACCCATGTGTCCAAAGTAAGAACTGCTCCATAGCGTTTTCAAGGCTGTGACCTTTCAGAAGCAAATCACTAGGCCTTCTGAGGCAGAGCAGGGAAGGTACAAACTGCAGTCTTTGACCAGTAATCGGCAGTTAACCCAGGTACTCCCTTTCACATGGTGGTGGTGGTTGTGTGCCGTTTTGACGCATAGCAACCCTGTATAGGGTTTCCAAGGCTATAAATCTTTGCAGGAGCAAAAAGCCTCATCTTTCTCCCATGGAGCACCAAGTGGATACAAACTGCTGGCCTTGAAGTTAGCAATCCAACTTGTAACCCACTATGCTACCAGGGTTTCTTTTTCTCCTATATTTGAAGTAAAATAATTTAGTTATTTGAGAGAGCAGTGATGTCATCCACCTGCTCTGTCCCCTGACTTTCCAAGCAGAGAAAGCTTGAAAATACAAGCTTTATAAACTCTCTGGCTTCTCAGGTCATCAAAGCCATCTCCCTGCCCCAGTTCAAGAACTTAGATATGGTCATGTGGATTTGCCTGCCAATTACTGAGTTGAGAAATCACTGCTAAAGGCAATTTAGATAGAATCAGCAAAATGCCATGGCTTATTTTCCTAGAAGATTCTGTGAATTCTTGAGTGTCCTATAGCTGTGAGCTCCTTTTGGACTAGTACTTTATCAACTTTATGGTAATGTTGCCATAAGAGTTCACATGCTTATTTTTTACATATGGCCAAAGGGGTCTTTTTTTCTCCCACCCTTAGGCATGTATGGTCTTCCCTTCTTGCAAAAGCATCTAACATGTAAAGCTAACAGTAGCACCATGTTTATAGCATTTGTTTTCATTTTTCCTATGCTCCTATGCCTACAATGAGAACAAGTATAATCAGGCAATATAAGATTCAGTGACAATTGTTGCTTTTGAAGACTGGTTAACAAGAGGCAAAGTAGTTTCTTTAGAGCTGGAAATATCTGTCTTGTTATAAATGAACTGTGTTGCATATCTACTTACACAAAGACATTTAAATATTTAACTTTTTTTTTTTTTCCTATAGCCATCTCTTCCTGTACTTTATACCTTGTCAAGCCAGGCTACACATGAAGCTGTTCATCTCCTTTGCAGGATGTTGGTCTTTGATCCAGTAAGTAGTATTGGCTTACTTTTTTAATGAATTAAAAATACATGTGTTCTAAGAGATATGTCATGGTTTTGATTAAATGAGCAATGTAAATAATGTTTCAAAATATAAACTTCAACCCGTAGCTTCATGTGTATCATAATCACTCATCACACAGAAGTTTGATGATTGTTTTTAAGTGCCGTCAAGTCATTTTCAACTCACAGAAACCCTGTATAGGATTTCCGCAGAGTGTCTGTCAGTGGGTTTGAATTGTTGACCTTGCAGTTAACAGTCCACTGCTTTACTATTTTTCTTGATTATCCAAGATTCAAAACAGAAGTTTGACACCATGTTCAATCCATGGAAGAATAAATAGAAGGTTATTTGAAGAAATCTGCCCATGATATTACATAAGAGAAATGTGATCTTTGGATTGTTGATAATGGTAGCTTTTCCAAATACCATTTGTAGACTTGTCTCTTCCAGGACATATTACAAATTGCTCCATCATTTCAGTCTTCACTTATTTCATTATCCATCGAATAATTATAATAATAATTATTATTCCCATCTATGCCAGTAACTATCATCAAAGGAAGACCTAAAAAAGGAAGCATTTATCAAAGGAAAGGATATTTTTCTTGCCATGATGCAAGGAAGTTAGACTTTAATAGGGAAGACACACCAAATACAAAACACAACAGATATTTAAAGGGAAAAGAAATCCACAGAATTACCAAAAACACAAAGTTTATGCTGACCTGCTCATAATGAGAAGACAGCAACTTTCTTACATAGTGATCAAATTCACCAAGAAAGTAACTATCTTCAGAAATCACCATAAAGACAAGGCAAAAAAATGTTTTGTTGGGGAATCAGGTGTGTGAAAAGTAGTCAGGATTTTATTATTAGGGAAACCAGTACCAATCAAGTGACCAAGCTATTTTTGCTTCATGTACGAATACAAATCGAGGTTTGTTTGTTTGATGCCTGTTTTCTTTTTTAACTGTGGTATGTTAGTGCTTATTGACACTGAAAGCAAGACAAAATGGCAGTTGTATTTCTACAGTCTCTCCATATGGTCAAATTCCCAACATCAAGGATAATTTTGACCACATAACTTGGTTTTGAATGAGCTGGTAATTTAGAATCTATCAAAATAGTTTGCTATTTTGTTTTATTTGACAAATTTCTTTACATAAGAACTAGGAGATGTTGGCAGTCTTTTTATATAGTTAAATTAGAACCATATTAAACTTCAGGCTCCAAAATTAATTTCTGTTTGCCCATAGAGGGTTTATAAAGACCCTACAATTAAAATTGTGTGTGTGTGTGTGTGTGTGTGTGTGTCACAATGATGTTTTTTTCCTCTTTATTTTACTTAGATTAGGAACCAAGAACATAATTAACCTCTAGCAGGTTTTGCTTACAAGGTATCAACTTTTTCTGAGAACCCATGTTTATAAATGTTCCAGGCCTGCCATTAAGGCTGGAATTTCCTAAGTCATAGAGCAAGTCTCTTTTCTGAGAGCATTTGTGGACATTGGTTCTACATGTGTAACATAGTCTGTGCTCCTTAATAGTGGGATTGTCATACCTAACTAAACGAAATTTCTGATGTGGGGGATAGTTACAAATTAATCTGTAAGAAGGAGGTAAAATTTGTTTCATAAGAAGGATAGATTTTTATTGGACTTCTATAAATAACTGCATTTTCATTTTAAAAGAAAGGAATTAGCAAAGGCAATTTATATAATAATTAACTACTTTCAACATTGTTTTATAGATTATGTTGCTATTTCTTCATGATTTTTTATAGATAATGTTGCTATTTCTTCATGATATTTTTTTTTTAAGTTGGTCTGATCCTTTATTAAATAATTTATGATCTGTGTTAAGGATTCTTTTCTTTCCAGTTCTGAAAAGTTCAGTTAGAGCAATATAACATTTCAAAAGTGTATTTCCTTTTGGTTTGAACCTGTTTAAATGAGGGTTGTTGTCACTGTTATTAAGTGCCATCTAGTCAGTTCCAACTCATAGTTACCCTGTATAGGATTTTGGAGGAGTGGCTGGTGAATTTGAACTGCTAACCTTGCAGTTCAGACTGACCTTGTGGTCCAGCGCATTATCCCAAAGCACCACACACCAAAACTCCAAATGAGGGTTAAGTTAATGATGCATTACAAAGAAAGCAATAAGCTCTTTGTTAGTTTATTTTGTCCCCTTAGTCTGAGATAAGAAATTCTTACCTTGTTGATCTTCTGCTTCTGGGCTGAACATTCCTAGAAGCCCTGACTCAGTTACTCAGCTCAGTCTAACAGGTGTTTGTCTGTGATGATCATATCAGTCTACCCATGAGCTTGTACACTGATGGTAGGGTCAGGAGCACCTGGTACAGTCCTCCGCTGAGCTCCTTATGCTAGAGATCACAGAAGACTCAAGTTCTGCTCATTAAACGTGTAGCAGGGACCTTATGGCAAATAGAAGGAAACAGCAGAAACTACGAGTGGATGATACAATTAAAGGGCTGCAGTTCTTTTATATTATAATCGTAATAGAAAGGGTGCGGTGTAATAAGCCATCCATTTATAAAGATTTTAATAAATTATTATCTTGAAACAGCAAAAAGATTGAATGACTCTCTAGAGTCTTTATCTCATTAAATATATTGTAAATGTCACCAAGTGACAATTGTATTTAAACCTAGAAATGAATTTATTATTTATTGACAGTAATTTTAGTCTGTGTGCCTGAACATAATGTGTATCTTTTAACCTAAAAAAGTACAAACTATAATTAAACTATTAAGTTTTACTTATATGTAAATATCTTAGTAAGGCTGAGTAGACAAAGTTTCAACATGAGATATTTCTATGTATGACAGCCGCTTGTCTGTCAGTTTGGCATACTGTGGTGATTGTATGTTGTATCAACATGAGCTATTCCTATGTATGACGGCCACTTGTCTGTCAGTTTGGCATACTGTGGTGATTGTATGTTGTATCAACATGACCTGTTCCTATGTATGACGGCCACTTGTCTATCAGTTTGTCCTACTGTGGTGATTGTATGTTGCTGTGATGCTGGAAGCTCTGCCATCAGTATTTTAAATACCTATCGGGTCACCCATGGCAGATAGGTTTCAGTGGAGTGTCTTGACTAAGACAAGCTAGGAAGAAAGAGAAAACTACTGACTATTTTGCTGCTGAAAACCTTATGAATAGCAGTTGAACGTTGTCAGATCCAGCGCCAAAAGATGAGTCCCTTAGGTTGGAAGGCACTCAAAATATGACTGGGGAATAACTGTTTCTCCTCAAAGTAGACATGGTGACGTGAATGGAGTCAAGTTCTCAGGACTTGCCTTTGTTGATAGGGCACAACTCAAAATGAGGAGAAACAGCAGCAAACATCCCTTAGTAACTGGAACATGGAATGTATGAAGTGTGAATCTAGGAAAATTGGAAGTTGTCAAAATTGAAATGGAACACATGAAAATTACTATCCTAGGCATTAGTGAGATGAAATAGACTAGTACTGGCCAGTTTGAATATGAGAATCATGTGGTTTACTATGCTGGGAACGTCAAATTGAAGAAGACTGGCATCATATTCATCGTCAAAAAGAGCATTTCAAGATCTGTCTTAAAGTGCAATGATGTCTGTGATAGGATAATATCCATAAAGCCTAAAGGAAAACCAGTTAATACCACTATTACCCAAATTTAGAGTCCTGGTGTGATGCTGTGGGTTAATGTGTCAGACTGCAAAGCCGTTTGAACTGCAAGGACGGTGGTGCAAGCCCACCAGCTGCTTCTCAGAAACATTATACAGGGTTGCTATGAGTCGGAATTGACTCGCCAGCATTTAACAACAACAACAACCCAAATTTACAAATCAACCACTAAAGCCAGTAATTATGAAATTGAAAATTTCTACCAACTTATTGTCTGAAATTGATAAAACATGCAATCAAGATGCTTTGATAATTTACTGGTGATTGGAAACAAAGAGGAAGAATCAGTAGTTGGAAAATAATGGCGTTGATGATAGAAAAAAATGCTGGAGATTACATAATAGAATTTTGAAAGACCAACGATTTTTTTCATTGCAAATACCTTTTGAACAATATAAAAGGTGCCTGTATACCTGGACCTCACCAGATGGAATAGACAGGATTCAAATTGACTTCATCTGTGGAAAGAGATGCTGGAAAAGTTCAATATCATCAGCCAAAACAAGGCCAGAGACAGACTGTGGAACAGATCATCAATTGTTCATAATGCAAGTTCAGGCTGAAGCTGAAGAAAATGAAAACAAGTCCACAAGAGCCAAAATATGACCTTGAATATATCTCACCTGAATTTAAAGAGCATCTCAAGAATAGATTTGATGCATTAAACACTTAATGACTGAACACCAGAGGAGTTGTGGATGACATCAAGGACACCATACATGAAGAAAGTATAAGTTCATTAAAAAGACAGGAAAGAATGAAAGACCAAAATGGATGTCAGAAGAGACTCTCAAAATTGCTCTTGACTGTAGAGAAGCTAAAGTGAATGGAAGAAATGAGGAAGTAAAAGAGCTCAACAGAAAATTTCAAAGGTCAGCTCATGAAGATAAAGTCAAACATTATAATGAAATGTGCAAAGACATGGAGTTAGAAAACCAAAAGGAAAAAAAACCACATTCAGCATTTCTCCAACTGATATAATTAAAGAAAAAACTCAATCTTAGCGTTGAAATATCGGAGGATTCTCTATGTGCAAAATATTTGAATTATTTAGAAAGCATCTAAAAAAGATGGAAGGAATACACAGAGTCACTGTACCAAAAAGGAATGGTCGATGTTCAACCATTTCAAGAGTTAGCATATGATCAAGAAACAATGGTACTAAAGGAACAAGGCTCCTGGAATTGATGGAATTCCACATTGAAATCTTTCAACAAACTGATGCAGCACTGGAGGCACTCACTCATCTAAACCAAGAAATTTGGAAAAGACTTCATTTTGCTTGGATC